CCCCGCACAGCAGCTGGCAGAGAGCACGCGTGAGCAGTGACAAACCGACTCCCCAGGACGCGGGCTATACACGAGCGAGCATTCACGTGCCTGTGCAGCTTCCACGGGATGGATGTACACCAGCGTATGCTCGGGGCCATCCACTGACGTGTAGGACGCACCATCTGCTGTGTACACCACCTGCTGGGGTGGGCGGACCTGGTCATCGGTGTAGACGATCTGAGCCACGGTTCCAGCGTCAGGAACAAAGTGCACCTGGGGCAGAAAGCAGGCGAGTATGCAGTGTCACCCTTGCAGAAGAAAGTCAGCCTCACACAGGCGCAGGGCCAGCCAGGCTCACCTGCACGCCAGCATGCCTACGAAGAGGTATGGGACCGACGCCTGCAGGTGGGCTGAGCTACTGACAGTCAGGACCCAGGTCCAGACACTGACCCACTGCTTAATGTCAGGTCACGGGCGTCGATGCCCCTCTGCCCCAAGTGCCCCATGCGGATAACTCATCGGGAGGGAAACGAGGGGTGGTGAGTCGATCAAGTTTTCTGCCTGGCAACATGACCAAAATGCAGAATATGAGTATCCCATGAAAAATCTGCCAGGACTCAAAAGCCAGTTGTGCTCAACGTACCGTAACAAATCTGTCTGAGGGCCAGCAGGTGGCGTGGTGGTTAAGGCAATGGACTCCCATATGGTCAACTGAGCTTTGAGGCCTGGCCCTGGCAGCTTGCTTTCTCATTTTCCTTCTCTCTCTCTGTCTCTCTGGTGAGCACACATACCCTATAGAAAAATTAAAATAATACTAATAAATAAAATTTTAAAAGTAATTCTTTAAAAACAAATTCTGTGTGATAGCTGTGGGTACCTTTCCACAGACAGATTAAGGAAGGCCACGTGCTTTCCCACTTCGCCGCAGCCTGGGGTGGCGGGAATGGCGCTGGGCCCCACACGGAGCACGACTTTCCCGAGGCAGCTACAAGACAGACAGTCCCACCAGAGAACTCTGCAGGGTCCTGGACAACTCTGCCAGCTGTCATCGGTGTGGCATTTCTATCTCATGATTTCGCATTTCCCAAGACCTAAAGAACTAAAGCACAGACCAAGCTTTGCAAAATTCTTAGAGTGGTCAGGCAGCTTTGGGGGCTGAATTCTGGAAGGCCGGAGCTTGGCCCACGGCCCAGCGCCTGACAGCAAAGGTCTGGAAGCAGACGGCCCAAGGACACTTTGGGGGAAGGGAAAACCCATGGCTGACACGAAGTCAGGTGCTGTGGGGTTGGATCCTGCCTACGCAGGCTTGGCTCGGCCTAACTTTTTTTTTTTTTTTTTGGAGAGGTTTTTCGCTATAGGGCGTGTGCACTCGCCAGACAGACAGAGACATAGAGACAGAAAGCGAGAAATCACCCCCCAGGGGGTATGGTCACGCCACAATCCCTTCTCCTCCATTCTCCTCTCGGGATCTTGGGCACGCACGCACACGCGCCCGGCGTGAGTTTTAAGCCACCGGGTCCGGGACGCAAACCGCGGTCGACTACGTGGGAGTCCAGCGACACAGCCATTGCGCTAACTGCTGGTTCCCTCAGCCTAACTTTTGTATGTCAGTTTTCTCCAGGGGAATAGAAGGTCTCCAAGATGATATAAACCAAGTTCCCTCCCAGAAAGAACCAAGTGACCAAACGGAATCGAACACCGAGAAGTACAACCATCTGTCCTTCTGCACGGGAGGGCTTTGGGAAATGTGCATTATGAAAAAATGATGCGTATATTTGACTTTTTTGGGCACCAAAATAAACTTGTACTTTAATTCCATCTTTCTACAAATTCTTTGACGTCTTCTCATACGAAATGACTAGTCTGGCTTCTACATAAATGTGACTGGCCCATGAAGATAAGGTTTGTATATGGAAAAATTAGGCTGATAACATATACTTGCACAGTTTTCAATTGTTAGAAGGAAATTTCACGGGCCCACCCAGTAGCCACGTGGTTAAAGGAACAGGACCTCACGAAGCTGACCATGGCCCGACTCCCACTGGAAAACACAGCGGGTGCATGCGTGTGCCCCAAACCCTGACAGGATGAAGAAATGGAGAAAACACTGGACCGTGGCCACACCCCACTGAGGAGCACTGCCTCTCCCTT